AGGTTCACTCCACTTTACAATGTGCAGATTGAAATAATAGATTTACTATATTTTTTTCGAAAGCAAAATAAAAGATTTATTCTTTATTTACAAACGGTATATTAAAAAAAATATTGAAGATATCGTCAAATTTCTCAGACCTCAGCTGCTTCATTCGCTTCAGCATACGGCTTCGGCAGATAACACTTCCTTGGTCTTGATAATTTACTATATCTTTACCTCTTCCAGTAATTGATTTTCTTTATAATATACCTTTTAATGAGTCTATATTATTCAATCACAAGAGCATTGTTGGCTTCAAACGAGTGCATCACTAGATACATCCAATGAATGAAATTCCCATGGACCAATTCGATCTCAGTTTGTATGGATTGTACGGAGTGTAAAGAGTTACATGTAGCATTTAATAGCAATATTAGAATGAACTGCTTTTGTTCCCAGTTGAATTCAAAGATCCTTTGAAAACTGTACAATACCTTCGACTGTACGAATCTGCTGTGATTGAAGTTAATGTGATCGGTGAAGGACCTCGYCCAACTATCACGTGGTACAAATGCAACAATAAAGGAGAAGACTGCGTCAAATTACAAATAATCAGTAATTCTCGATATGACAAACTAGCAAGCGGATCACTCAGGATAAATAGAGTGGAGACGAGCGATGCAGTGAAATTCAAGTGTCATATTGAGCAGTCTGGCTCAGAAAAAGATGCAGTGATCGAAGTCATTCCTACATGTAAGTATATAATAACAATCAAGGACTGGGAAATGGGGAGGGAGAGTTTATTAACAACATCCTCGGGAACCAAGCGATAAGATACTGTAGCTCGTTTTTATCTTTATAATACACTTTTATCTTTATAATACACTTTTATCTTTATAATACACTTTTGGTTGTACAAGGTGAGAATCAGGATATAATTCAGTAATCATGAGTAAAAATTATATTTGTATCAGACCTTTAATGGTGGCCTAGCTATTTGACGATGATTTGGTAAGATCGAGAGACACAATTCAGTATGTAACGCAGTCCCTTGCTCACACATACAATACGAAAGCAATCATGAATAAACACTTACTCATCACACTATTCATGAAGAACTAACACGGGCTGTAATAAAGTTGTTAAAAAATCGTTTAACAACACATCTGACAAAGGATTGAACAAATTAAGCCAGTTTTAAAACATAAGTATTTTGAAATAATATATAACTTTTGATTCCATTTACAAATATATATATAATCACGGCCGGCTATGTTAACTGGAAGTGGAACTAATATAGAAAACTGAGATGAGTTTTATTACCGAAAATCCTTCAATGAAAACCCCTTTGTAATAATACTGGTCGGGAATCTACTGAAGTACCTGGACTACTATACCCTCCTCCGAAGGCTACAACATAAATTATCTGTTGAAGCTTGTGGAGGAGGCTAGGACTACTAGTGGAATTTTTTATGTATATTCCGCATCACTTTCATATCATTAATACTTGTAAATAATTCTTTTAAATTTTTCCATTACTCTCTTTCTTTTTGTTTCTGTTTTTTGCTTTTATATATGATAATAATTTCCTATATATAGCAATTGTTTTCGATCAAACCTTCTAAACACTGACAATTTGCAAGCCTTATCTTCTCTCCTTTGGCTAAGAACTTCTTATATAATAGCATTTTAGTATTATATGTTGTGAATTAATATCATTAACATCATTTTATAATATGATTTATGTATAGTATGTAATGGATGTCAACATTGTAATGAGTGCAGTGTATAAATAAATTTACTTCATTATTACTTATTGCTATATATCTTTAATTTATTCCATTTATTTCTGAGTAGATTCTTTTTGAAAGCAAAGTATATAATGTGTGTTATTATATGACCGTGAATCTTAGAGCCTGGACACTAGCAAATCGAGCAATCTGATTGGATAGATCGCATCGCGGACTGGTCTAGATTCTCCGGTATTAATCGGTCAGATTACATATTCATCTTACGGCAAAAAAAATTTTCCCAACTCGATACATTGGTCATATAAAAAAACTCTTGTCAACCGAGCTTGGTCGGTCTGTACCGGATAATATTGACCTCGGTCGGGTACAGACCTCGGTCAAGATTATCCCGCACAGACCTCCCGCTCGGTTAATAAGATCTAAATTCGATTGATATTGTTTTATTTCCCTTTAATATTTTTATCTTAACTTGCCTTCCTCTGTTGAAGATATGGCTGTCAAGACATCTGCTTCTTATAGCATTTATATCCTTAGATTTCCTTCTCAGTCTTGCCAGAATCTACATCAATCAGTATTTCTCCAAACCAGACGGGTTTTTGTCTTGGAAGTCTTGCAACTATCTTCTGTACATCCTAGCCTCCTGCTAACTACTCTTTGTTTCACAACACAAAGCTGATCCATGATAACAGTACAAGTGGCGTGTTTAGTGTGACATTGAATGACACAGACAACAACAACTACACCTGTGCACCTTACAATACCGTGGGGTTCGGGCAAAATAGAAGTTTGCCGCTTTTCGTTAAAGGTACTATGGGAAGTACTAAATCTCTCTTTCAAACATTTTGTTATTTCATGGTCATATATCTAACAAATAGTAAAACTGGTATCTCAGTGCTCCGATCAGTAATAGAACATTAACGTGGACATGGCAAATGACCTTGGCTCAGACTTTTACGACTTTTACTCTTTCATAACTTTCATAGCTTTGAATTTCTGTTTTGCTGCCCTTTTTTTTCATTACAAGATTTGGAATGCATTGCCATAGAAACATTATTACTAACACCATTTGACATTTGAGTAAGTGCAATTTTTAAAACCTCTAAATAAAAACTCAGTAATAGTCAATATACTGATGCAATAGTCGATACAAAAGAATGCAATAGAATTAGTGTCTACTGTGTATTAAACTATTTCACGGGTTTAGTGACTTTCTTTGTGGATTCAAATAAATATTTGATGCTATGCTTTTTTCTCTGTAGAACCCCCAAATATTGATGGATGTCAGGTTGCTAGTATGAATATGATGAATGGATCAGTTATCGAAGGAGAAACAGTGACCTTGTTATGTAACGACATCTCTGGTAGTGATCCGCTGAACATAACATGGACCTATGGTAGTCACGTGTGGAATCAAGCGAACCTGACGTTTGATTCTATCAACAGAGCGAATGATGGAGTTTATCACGTGACAGTTAATAATGGCAAAGAGTGTAACGAAACAAATAGGGGAAAATCTCACACTCAGTGTATACTGTTAGTGTTATGTCAGAATTGTTATTTTAGTGATCTTAACCTAATTTTGCTATACAACTTTTCAAATTGTCTCGTCTATATCGATCACATGATGTTATGGTGTGTTAATGTACCAAGGGTAATTGTCTACCATTTGTTTTAGAATAGGCTAAACTAATAGCTACTAGCTAATAGATTAATTATTTATTTACTAATATCTGGCCATTTGAGCTGAAAATTTTGTGTGCCTAATTCATACCCCATTTTTTCTCACACTAAATATCTTCGTCGTCATCATCATCATCATCGTCATCATCATTATTGTAATTGTTATAACATAATGGTTAAACAATGCCAGATAAAATGTTTAACTTTTTCCTAGTTTTGAGTTAACTATTTGCGGTACTTATTTGTAAGATAAAATATTAAGCAACGTTTTATTTGACTTTTTTTAACGGGCAAAAACTTAATGCGCCAAAAATGACCGATCTATTGCAAATAAAAAGTCTAATCGTACCCCTCTTTGACGAGCAGCAATGTTAATTTTAAATATTCATTGGTTATGGAGGCGTTTCATACCGGTCACGTGAGATGGTCTGAATGTGTTTTTTTAGTGAGTTCCCTAAAATTACCTGTGCCTCTATTATTTGCAACCTGTGAGATTGTCGTATATACTCAATAGAAGAATCGTTGTCGGGCTCAGAAGCATAGAACATAGAAGCTGAGATCGAAATGGCACATGAGAAATGACATAATTATATTATAATTTATTCATTTGCGCCATCCATGCAGTCGGTTTAGAATGCCTAACGCGTATCAAAAACAGTGGATGATGGCACGGGTTGCCGGTCACAGCATGCATCTAATTAACGTACTTCCCATGTGCCATTTCGGTCTCAGTTTCTATGTTCTTTGTTTCTGAACCCGACAACGATTCTTCAATTGAGTGTATGTCTATTATTTATTCAACTATCCTATTCAACAATATTGCAGTCCCTCCAACAATCATTGCATTGATTTGTCAAGGCTGTCAAAGTGGAGTTGCCATCGAGAACCAAACCATCACCTTGTTGTGTAATGCTACTGGTAAACCCGTACCAAACATCAGATGGATGAAGAATGGAGAATATTACGATGGAAATAGTTCATCATCAAGTCCAATGAACAAGATTGTCTTCCAAAAATTTGCAATTAGCGACACAGGAATTTACACCTGCATTGCTGACAACGGGGTTGGCAATCCGGGAAGGAAATCATTCCTTTTATCTGTTAACTGTAAGTGAAGATTTAATATACTCAATGTACATTTTGTCATGCGAAAAGATTAATTCATTTTCATAAGGGGACTTTTTCTACTGATTATCATTGATCAAAGTGAACAAAAATGTTTGTCCTGAAACTGGAGAATAGCGCTTTATGTTTACAATTTCATTCATGAGAGGTTCATATTTCCGACGAGCAGCAGCGGTACTTGTAATGGTCATATTCTATAAATTGCAATTGCAAAATAACTTTATATAATGCGCTCTCTAGTCATCAAAAGTGGCTTTTCAAGCGCACGTTTGAACTTTTAACATTACTTAAGGATATTATACAAAATATGAATGATGTACAGTGGTTTTCATAAACCCATGAAACAAAGAGTACTAATTATAGAGTGTAATAAGATTAATAGTTAGAGTAATGAAAAGCCCTTAATTATGGGGAAAGATAATAAAGTATGTAAAGTATGTAGTAGTCAGATTAACCCAATAGAAAACAAGAGAATTAGAGTGCAAAAATACATTACAATACAACCATGCTTAACAAGTTTGTATTGTGATGTATGATGCGTTGTTATTTTCCAGACAGACCAGAAAATACCAGCATTAAGATATCTGATGAGAAAAAGGTCTTCTGTAAAGGAGATTCGATACACGTTACCTGTACGTCACACGCGAAGCCCGCCCCAGCCTACTCTTTGTATCGTAGTAACGTGTTTCTTGGTAGTAATGCTATTGGTATCTTTGTTGTTGAACTTGCTGAGAATGGAAATTACAGTCTTACCTGTATACCAAATAATAAAGTTGGTATTGGACCAAGTAAGAGCGAAAGTGTTACAGTAAAAGGTAAACCAGGTAGCATACCATAGCATGGCATGGCTGATAGTTATATATATATTTTTATATGCATACCAGGAAAAAATGTCAGTGATAGAGTTGTTCCTAACAAAAGCGTAAGGGATGCAAATGTACGCCTTAGCACCTTGGGGATGCAAATGAGCAAAAAAAAAAAAAAAAGCGCTCGAACTGCATGCATAGATAATGATTGTATTGTTAAGATATCTGGCTGTCTGTGAAAAACGTGTTTTGTTTTCATTTTTCACTGTCAGCTCATTCCACATGTCTTAAATTCTACCTTACTTTCAAATGTAATGAAGCCATTTTTCCTATGACGATACAGGGACCGGTTGTATTGAGGGAAGATAGCGCTATCAAATGGATAAATCGATAGCATATTAGGTAAAATGTCATTAAAGATATCCCCTAGTTTTTTCAACACTTCTACCTCTTTCTTTCCCGATTAACAGGATCGATTTAAAAACAGACATACTAAAAAAAATCCAACTTCGAATTTATTCATAATTTTCAGAGCCTCCCAAAATCACCAATGGCCGTATTAATGGTTCGTTAAGTACGAACCAACCAGTCGTTGAAGGGGATGTGGTAACAGTGACCTGCAGTGCATCTGGAAGTCCTCCACTCACTGGAAGATGGACCAAAGATGGACGTGTGTGGAATGGGAATAATCTTATATTCAACCCAATAAATCGAGCAGATGCTGGATCCTACAAGTTTATCTTACACAATGGAGACGAATGCAATAAAACCGAGCAAAAAATTCATATATCTGTTTATTGTAAGTAGACTTGCTAGATGATAAAGAAAATTCCATTGTTTACAAGTAAACCCTATAGGTCGTCAACGTTACACGTCAATTCCGGTCTCGTGTGGGATTTTTATCACCTGCATGGCAAGTTTACTATGGAAATGTACATGGATGATTCCGCAAGGGAGCAGGGCTTGCTCCTCACTGAAGTCTGTTAATCAGATATTCAGATTTATGACATTCATTCAGCTGATTGATATCAAGCCATTTCTTTATATCCTAAAGCAGTGTCGATGCTGACTGACTGAGTGAATGAATGATTGTTTGATTCAATGATTATCAGTGTAAATATTTCTTTCGTTTGTTTCTCTTTTTAAATAGACTTAGATCTTCTGGAAGTGATTGGATCAAGTAACAAGAGCTACAGTCAGTCCAATCCACTGGTATTGTTCAACCTTAGTATCAACGCATATCCCAGTAACACATCCCTGTCTTGTAATCCTTCTGCACCGAATATATTGACTACCATCACCAGCCATGATGCAGGGATAAATAGAAAACAGTATCTGGTGGTGGCTATCATTCAGAATGATTTGGATAGTGCTAGCATTGTATGTAAAGCTGAAAATAGCGTTGGTGTACGAGAAAGGACATTGCATTTTTACAGACAGCCGATAGGTGAGTAATCTTTAATAAGAGTTACAAATGTCACTGGCTTAAGTTGAGCCAGTCCTGATGTTTCTTGCTATGATCTACCAAGCCATATTTTACTGGTTTTGTCTTCTAATTTAGTCTTAAAGGAAGCTTTTGCCGGCCAGTTTAGTATAACAAACCCAAAATGGCAGGATGACCTTCAGGACGTAAAGTCAGCAGGCTACAATGATCTTAAACAGAAGTGCATCAAAATAGTAAG